GGCTGCCCAGGGAGAGCCAGCAGCTGGCCCGGCCCCTCTGCTAGAGCTGGCGTTGATTCTTGAACCTACTGACGGCAGTTAGGGACAGGGACAGCCAGTGCCAGCTGGGACTCACGGTTCTCAAGCACTCGAGGAAAGGGGCCACGTGAGCAGTGAGCAGCTCCCTGGGCGCCCGGGAGCCGCTGGCTCACGCTTTGCCTTGGTGCTCTGCCGGGTCCCGCTGCACCGAACGCTGCGCCCAGCACCGCAGGAGCCACAGCCCGGAGGACACGGCACGTCGAGGGCTGCGTCCTGTGCAGGGAGCACGTGGCTCCGGTGATGGGTGACGCTGGGGACAGCTGAGTGCGCACAGTGACACAGACATCTGCAACAGACACCCGCTCTGAACAGCGTCTGCTGCAGGTGGGTGCTGCTGCTGGAGCCCGTTCTGCTGCTCAGACCAAGGCCCCGGGGATGGCACCAGTCCCGGTGCCTGCAAATCTTCCCCATCCAGAGCCCGGAGGCAGCAGGAGAGCTGGGTCCCTCCCCAGCTTCACCTGCTCCGGGATGTGGCGGTGACCGGGACGGGACACGCGGGAGCCCCAAGCCCAGACGTGCCGGGTGCCCGGCTGCAGCGCAGCCTTCCCCCGCGCCCGCACGGCGCGGGGACGGCGGCTGCGGCGGAGCCGAGCGCCTCTTCCTGTGGGAGAGGGGGGGATCCTGCAACAGCATCGCTGGGAGCTGCCAGATAAAGGAAGCATCAAAAATAGCTGCTCTTAATTATATCCTTGCAGGCGAGCACCACGCAAACAACGGGTGCCGAATGCTCTCGTTGCAGGAGGAGCCCAGCGAGAGCCGCAATATTTCCTGCCCAGCCACCACAGCGGGGAGAGAGGAGCCTGGTGCTCACTGAGGGGCCGCGCTGCCCATTCGGCCCTGGGGACCTCGGGGGGTCCCTGGGGACAAGGGCACCCGCCTCTCGCACCCATCCCCTCCTGCGCAGCCCCACGGATGCTGCCCGGGATCCCAATGCCAGCCGGGCATGCGGAGGGGAGCCCTTCCTGGCAGGTGTCCGGCAGGGAAAGGCCTCTCCTGCTGCAGCCAAGGTCACGCCGAGCAAGGAGCCCGCGCTGCGCCGCGATGCTAATAAAGCCATTAGCATCCGATGATCAATTTTGACTGTATAAATAATGCAGGGAGGCTCAGGGCGCTGGCGCGGCGCTGGGATCCGCAGCTGCCCCGCAGCCCG